TTGCCTAAAAAAGAAAAAATACACTTAAATATAACTTGATGTCATTGATCCGAAAATTCAAGTGCAAATCAAAATTTAATGTTAATAATATAATATAAATTATGTTATTTAAAATATTAAAAAATAAATTTTATATTATTTAATTATTAATTCTTTTATCTTTTATTTTTTAAAAATTCATAACATCATATATATCAATTAATTTAATAATATAAATTATACCACTCCATTAACTCTAAATTTTCATATCAGAATTCCACCCTTCCTATCGTTCCATTTTGTAACATTAGTCCCATAAATCGCTTTGTCGTCGTGGCAATTATTGTCTTTGTCTCTAGTGTACTTACTCACACCGTACTGCATTAGATACATCCAATCAAAACCACCAACTCTTTTCCTGTCGTGATTACACATGTTGACTTGGTCTCAACGGTTAAGATTAAAAGTTAAATGAACGCCCAGCAAATTATCTGGACTGGCACTACACATGAAAATACAAACTTTCGTGGAAGGAGCAAAAATGGAACCTGGCAATAGCAATAATGCAACACCAGAAAATTACATACTGCGGAGTCACACTGTAACCAAAACCCCTTCCCCGAAACTAAATTCCGTGATGGAGGAGAAGCGCCGGGATGCAGCGAACTCGCCGGCGGGGCCAAGCTCGGTGGAGGGGGAGCCGGCATCCACGCGGCGTCGAGCTGGAGCCCAGAAGAGAAAAGCTAATGCTCCCGCCGCATCAAGCCCTTCGTCGTTGCCTTCCAAACGGATTACTCGTGAGAAGTCGAATTTGATGTCCCAATCTGCGATCATCCATAATGGTCCCTTAACCAGAGCTCGCTATGGGGCGCCTAGTAACCTGACCTCGGCTGCTGGATCGTCTAGGGTGAAGCTTGAGGAGCCAGGGTCGGTGAGGGAGAAAGCGAAGCTCAAGGAATTGGAGGAGCTGAATAAAGCTAATGAGCAATGGGAAGCCCTGGAGGCTAAAATTGAGTCTGAGTTCGAGGCCATTAGATCTCGGGAAAGTAATGCCCATGTGGTGCCGAATCATTGTGGTGAGTTTTTATGTAAATTTTATTTGTTTATTTATTTTTATGCATTGTTGGAAAAAGAGGGGGGGGGGAGGGGTGGGAAGGAGGAGAAAGTTCAGGTTCTGGGATGAAATGGACTGAATTTCACCTTGGTTGGCCAGGAATTTGGTGGGGAAGATAATTTTAGGTGGAAACTTGAGGTCATTTTATGGTTAGTTCTTCCATTCAGCCAGTGGTACTGTGTTTAATATTCAGTTGGGAGTGAAGTCCCTAAAATGAAGTGAATTGAGCTGAAATGGGGGATCTTTTTGTGATTCATTACTTCTATGTTTGATTGCTGCTAGACAACCCAAAATTTTGAGTGGATTTCGGTAAGGAGTTAAGCCATTTTTTTGTTTGTTTTCAGAGAAGAATTAAGTGATAAGAAAAAGGTATAGAATTTGTATTCTTTTTGTTGGTTCTTGTTGCTAAGTTAAGCCAAATTGCTGCATCTCAAGCTTTGCTTTAGCCAAGTCTGTGTATGCTTCGCTCTTCAGTGATGAGAAGTTACAAATTTGTTGACTTATTACCTTCCAATTTGTGTAAATGGTATTGTGAATCCTCAGTTAAATTGCATTTTGATAGGATGCTTCTTGGGTATTGCTGTGGAATTGATTACAAAAATGAAGAAAAGCTTTTCTAATATTCAACTTGTTTTTCAATTGAACAGTAATATAATATCAGTCATGGTACCTTGCGTAGAAGCTTCAATTGAGTCTTTAATTTTTTCTTCTCTTGTATATGATTGATTCTCTAGCATTCTAGCTTTTATTCCTATTGACACTGAGCTACTTGTTGACTTGTTGGGTATTATCTTACTGAGTGATAATTGAATTTTTTTTTTCCCTCAATTTTAGGTTAGGTTAGATGCAGGCTCCCATCCTTGTTTAAATATCTGTTGATTCATGCCATTGTTTAAGGTTTATGGGCGAAGAAAATTCAACATCTGAAGTTTTCTCTAAGATCATGTGAAGTGTAGAGTTACTTAAAATAGACCAAATTGCTTTTTGGTTGGCTGAGAGTTAAGAATTAATTTATGGTATTTCATTTCTCTTTCCTGTGCCCAGCATTTGTCTTTTTCTTTCCTTCTTTGTTAATTATGATCATATCATGCTCTCTGGTTTACAGGTTGGTTTTCTTGGACACAAGTTCACCCTCTTGAAAAGCGTACATTGCCTTCTTTCTTTAATGGCAAGATCCCAGCCCGTACACCTGATATTTACATGGACATACGTAATTGGATTATGACGAAATTTCATGCAAACCCAAATACACAGATTGAGTTGAAAGATCTGTCAGAGCTTGAAATTGGAGACTTGGATGCAAGGCAGGAGGTGTTGGAGTTCTTGGACTACTGGGGTTTGACCAACTTCCACCCATTCCTCCAAGTAGATTCTACTGTGGGAAGCAGTGATGGAGTTGAGGCAGCAAAAAACGATTCTTTGATTGAAAAATTATATCACTTTGAAGCAGTTGAATCATGCCCACCTGTTGTTCTCAAGCCTAACCTTGCAACACCATCTTTTCCATCTGGGTTGTTTCCAGAATCTGCAACTGCTGAGGATTTGGGGATTCCCGACGGGCCATCTGTTGAGTACCATTGCAACTCTTGTTCAGCTGATTGCTCTCGGAAGCGTTACCATTGCCAAAAGCAGGTTGGTTCTTGGCTGGTTTGATTGTAAATGTAAGGTCAAAGTAATTGGTGCACTTCTTATAAAGACAGTTTACTGTATTGGTTAAACATGCACTAGCATACACTTTCTAAATGTAACATATTTTATCTTGACCAAAGCAGGATGCCTATACCAATAACCAAGATTCCAATTTTTCCCAGATCAAATTCACGTTTCTATTCATTGTCCCTCAGTCTTATAAGTTCTTTATTTATTTATTTATTTATTTTGATCAGCCAACAAAATAACTTTTATTAAAGGGAGTACAAGGGGTACTCAACCCATTACAAGAGAGAATACTTTGTTACCAAATTAGTCATTAATCCCATTATTACAAGGGGCACTCAACCCATTATAAGTTCTTTATTCATTCTAGTTCTGAAAATTAAATTTGTATAACTTCTGTTCAAGAAAAATGATATTTGAAAATGAACCAATTTTAGCTGAAAGTGCTAGTTGAGCAGAGTTCAGATGATGTGCATGGCCATTGGCAACCATGCAATGCATGCTGTAGGCTGTAGCGTCTGCTGCTTACTGACAGTAGGGCAGTTGAGTCTGAAAGCTTCATATAAGATCTATGATTTTTATAATGACAATATATCAAAGTTAACATATTCTTTTTTGTTGATTGATTGATTCATTTTCCCATATCCATCTTTTAATGATGTGCTCTGATGCTAATGATTTTCTTATTTGACAGGCAGATTTTGACCTATGTACTGATTGCTTTAATAGTGGGAAGTTTGGCTCTGGCATGTCTTCTTCAGATTTCATTCTCATGGAGCCTGCTGAGGCCCCTGGTCTCAGTGGCGGCAAGTGGACAGATCAGGAAACCCTCCTGCTACTTGAGGCATTGGAGCTATTTAAAGAAAACTGGAATGAGATTGCCGAGCATGTAGCTACAAAAACCAAGGCTCAGTGCATGCTGCACTTTGTTCAAATGCCAATTGAGGTTGCCTTCCTTGATTTGGCTGATGAAACAGACCCTAACTTGAAAGAAACCGGGGTTTCTGCAGCAACAATCGATGGAACAGTTGTCCCTAAAGATGTTCCTGAAGCAAAAGAGAATAAGACTAGTCCTAATGAGGGTCAAGCCCAGACTTCAACGGAAATTTCGAAACCTAATGATGCAAGTGAAATCAAAGTCTGTCAGGAAACACCACAACCCCCAGATGGAACTGAAGTAGAAGTCTGTCCAGAGAAATCAAGCTCAGAAGATGCTAGTGAAGTGAAAATTGGTCATGATAGCAATGAAAATTGTGCACTGAAGGCTTTGAGTGAGGCATTTGAAGCTGTTGGTTATTCTCTAACACCTGAAAATCCACTTTCTTTTGCTGATGTTGGAAATCCTGTCATGGCATTGGTAAGTTGAGGTCCAATTGATGTTGGATTCAACAATAAGTTTATTGTAGTTCAAATCAATTTTTTATTAATTAACTAATCATGTTTAATTTATGAAAATAAATTCAAAAATAAACCTGATATTTGTGCTTTTAGAATGACTTAAATGAATTTACTAGAATATTAAAATCAAAAAGGTTTTCTGCTCTTTCATGTAACAGATAGATCTTTATTTATTTATTTATTTTTTGGATAACGTCGGTACCGTTGGCCCAACTGGTCCTACATGTACCTTCAAACTTACCCATCCACAAGCACCAGGCAAAGCTCCTGTTGGTTCAAATCTATTTATACTTGTCAACTTGCCTTCCTTATAGGCTAAAGAAGCATTTAGAGCCATTCTTTTATCTATATTTCAATGCTATTGGCAACTATAATTCATGAATTTTGTGCATTGTGTCCTTATACTTGAAATTTAAGGTTAGCCGACTTTGAAATAAAATGTAGAGAGCCTTGCTTGCTCACAATATAGAATTTAAATGAATGAGCATGTTTTGAATCTGAGATGGCATTTTAATTTTCTGTCTGAAGGCAACAATTTGTTTCCATGTCTATTTTCCTCACTTTTGAAAGACTCTTATGCCATAGCAAGATTCTTTGTTAATCCATCTTGGACATGTGCTATGCTCACCTATGGACAATATTTTTTGCTTCATGTAATTTCCTCAGAAAGAATATCAATTATTTAGCTTCACTAAACTTGGCAATTTAGCTCTTAAACTCTGTGAATGTCCTCCCTTTATTGGTTACAATCTATTATCTTCCCAACTCTGCTCTTGCTTACTGGTTTTGCATTGCTCTCTCTTGCAGGCAGGATTTCTGGCACGACTGGTTGAACCTGGCATTGCCACTGCCTCAGCCCGTAGTTCATTGAAATCAATATCTGGCAACACTCCTGGACTGCAGCTAGCAATAAGGCACTGCTTTCTCTTGGAAGATCCACCAGATGACAAGAAGGAGCAAGCTGGTTCTGAAAGGTATATGAATCTTTTTCAAGGTTATATCCCTCTTGTAATTTGTAAATGTTGTGTCTGATATTTGTAAGAAATTGGCAGTAATATGAATGAAATGGCTGGTCAAGGTGGTAAGAAAGATGAAGACAACCATGAAGACAGCCCAAAAGAGGATAAGTCTTCTCCAGTTTCAGATCAAAGAAATCCTTCAAGCAATCAAGGTGACCAGGATACTGTAGTATCTGTTTCTGAGGAAATGATAACATCAAATTTGCGGAATGATCAATCCCCAGAGAAAAAGGAATCCAAGATGTTAGCTATGAAGGAAGATGTTAATGATGCTAATGTGGAAGAACCAAGCAATCCTGCTCTACCAAAAGACCATCAATCAAGTATTATGGAAGACTCTGTTGGTTTGGCATCCAAGGTTCCACCAAGTTCTGTGAAAGGGTCTGGTGGGGAGGAAAGTGAAGTGGGAGAGGCCTCTAAGTCTAAAGAGGCAGCGAATGATGCAGAAATGTCTGATTCTCTTCCAACGGTAAAGAAAGGGGCTTGTGAAGCAACTGTAACAAAGTCAACTGGAGAGCAATCTAAGCCTTCTGGGACAGTTGTAGATTCCACTGACATGGTACTGGGTTCTTTGCCAAAGGAGAATAATGAGCATCAGCAACCAGTTAATGAAGGTATGGTGCCAGATTCACAACCCTCAGAGAGGAATGAGCCTCAGCAGGCAGTTACATCAAAATCATTAAATGAAAAAGGAGCTAGTACAGGTTTCTCTCTCTCTTTCTCTCTGAAAATGTCTTGTTAAGAGTTCTCAACATGAAAGTCAAATTTTCTGGCATTAATTTGCAGAAAACTTTAGAAAAATTGAATGGGTTAGATTTAAATTGATTAGGTGGATACATTTTTTTTTTCCCTTTTTTCAATGAAATATAAGTATACGTAATTTGATTAAATGCTACCCAACTTTATGAAAGATGTTATATTTGTTTATTTTCAAAAAAGAACAGATACAGAAATATAGTCAAGGGTCATGAGTACGATATAGTTTTTCCATTTTGCCATTACTTGAACAAATATGAATAAGAATTTTAGTCTGATTGGAAATGTCAGATTGCAGAATGTCTACTTCTATTCTGATTGCATTCCTTATATTTACTTCTTTGCTAGGTGAGGATCAAATCAAAGAAGTTAGAAAGGAAAGTAACTCTACAGGGGCTGAAGAGGACCGATACATTGATAAACTAAAGTGTGCAGCTGTTACTGCTATTTCAGCTGCAGCAGTGAAGGCAAAACTTTTGGCAGACCAGGAAGAGGACCAAATCCAACAACTTGTTACATCATTGATAGAAAAGCAGGTAGCACTGTAGCCAAAACCTATATCATCCCTGTTTTCCCTGTGTCTTCTTACTTGGTTTCACCTTTTAGTGGCTTTCTTATGGTGCAGTTACATAAGTTAGAAACCAAGTTAACCGTCTTCAATGAGCTGGAAAGTGTGACAATGAGGATGAAGGAGCATTTGGACAGATCAAAGCAGAGGCTTTACCATGAACGAGCACAGATAATTGCTGCCCGACTGGGCTTGCCAGCATCTTCATCTCGATCCATGCCACCAACACTGCCTGCCAATAGAATTGCAGCAAACTATGCAAGTTCAATTGCAAGACCTCCTATGGGCTCAAATTCCACAAGGCCACCAATGTCAAGACCAGTGGGGCCTATGGTACCTGTGCCTTCTAATCCATTTGCATCCACCACAATGGCAGGAAGTTCAATTCGACCTGGTAGCTAGGAGCATCTTTCTTCACGTGAAACATAGCAGTCTCTGCTTAGTATAAGCAAGAAGTATTTATCCATTTTTGTACAACAGCTGCTTATTGCAAAGTTTACCTAGTGAGTGTCCCCTCCTCTAATTTCTGTGTGCTCTTTTTCCTCCTTGTTTTTTTTTTTTACCTCTGGGGGGAGCCGGGAGCGATGGTGAATGTTCAGGTTGGTCTCTTTTGGGGGATGCAAAATGTCAATATCAAGAATTTTGGAGAAACCAATATTGATCGCATCCCAGCTTAACATGACGTTTTCTTGATTCAGCATTTCCTGGAGCAACCTCAAAAGGGAAGGTTACAAGTAAATCCAGCATTTGTACTAAATTACAATTAATTACTCTATTGCAACTCTGCAGGCATGTCGTTGTCGTGGAGGAAAGAGAAGCTGCATATTCATGTTCTTACATCCAAGGTACCTGTACCATGAGTGTAAATTCTATTATAATCGGTAAATGGACGGATGACATAGCTTCCTAACTTTTAGCCTCAGATTTTCTTTAGTGCCGACCTTGTTAAATTTGTTTATCACAAGTTAAACGTCTGTATCTTGTGACCTGATCTCACCAGGTATTCTTGGCATCTTTAAAGGTGGAAGTGTGCCAGATTTTAACTTGTGTATTACATTTTCATATGAATATGATGTGCTAATGAAGGTAAGGTGTTTAGGGTTCTCTAACTCCTCCTATTTTTTGCTCTTTGCCCCCATTTACTCTAGTTATATAGAGATTTATTTAGTTATGCAGTGTTAAAGGCAATTGAGAGAGACAACATGTGCCCCCATCTACTTCTGTTTTATAGAAATTTATGCCGTGGTTGGCAATTGTAAGAGATGAGGAAGGCAAAAATCACGTTTCTTTCTCCCTGAGAACATGTTGAATGGGCATGGTTGTATATTCAGCAACTTCAAACATCATAATGTCATAATCCCAAAAGACACTGGATCAACCAAGAAAATTTCCGTACTCCAGAAAACCAAAACGAGACAGACCATTGCCTTTAAAGGACACATTTAAATTGAAAACAAGGAAATTATGGGTCATGATAAAAGCAAACGCATTATAGGGCTGCTGTGGGGCACAACGCCTACCGCTTTATTATAGGCAAAAAAGTATAATCATAATGAAATATGAAACGACTGGTACCAGAACAACAATTGATAGTGCCATAGGCTAGCAAAAAGGGTAACAAACAAGATCTTGACACAGAAGGAACAAAGTAACTAAATCCAACCAACTTTAACAGACCAATTCGCTTCACACAGATACTAAAGTAATAATGTACAATGTAGCCACATAAAGAATTCGCATTGAGATGATTGAGAAGCTGAATCATTTGTCACATGATGATATTTATTGCTGCAGGAGAACGAGAATCACAATATATTCAGCACTCACATCCTGTTGACCTCGGCTGGCTGCTAGTTCCAACATCAATGGTGTCTGGCAAATATCTTCATAGAAGAATTATCCCACCAAAATAAAAGACAAAAGTTAGTATTATTATCACCCGTCCAAAATGGCCAACTAGAAAACTACTTCATCCTCAAAATCAGTATGATACCACTTTCTAATTGATATAAATTAGGCATGATGTAAGAAGATGTGCCTATAATTCAATTGAACTATGAAAAACTATTTCATTGTCAAAACAAGGACACTAGCAAAAGCATAGTTAAAACAGTAGAAGTAGTAATTTATCTCCATTCAGAATTGAGAATAGTTTTGCTTTATAACTAATTTGTGTCCAAAATTAAACTGCTAGAGTCTGTAGCTTAAGGCATTCTGTCTTTGCACATAATTTAAAAGTAGGCGGTAGCTAAGTAGAGTGCAAGTGCATGAACATGTGTGAATAGGTCAACTTACATCTCTTCTTCCTCCCCAGTCTTCAATGCATTCTTTGCTATGCACTGGAAAGCTTCTTCCACATTAATGCCTTCCTTGGCAGAGGTCTCAAAGTATGGGATATTTCCTTTAGAGGCACACCAAGCTCGAGCCTTTTTCTCTGACACCTAGAGAGGGCACTAGAAACATTTAATATATGTATATTTATACACATACTTTTGGGAGGGATAGGTTGATTCCATATTCACGTGGAAGAGGAAGAAAGGAACAGGGGAAATACATACCACTCTGCTGTTCCCACCATCCACATCAATTTTGTTTCCCAGAACAACAAATGGGAAATTCTCTGGATCTGAGGGGCTTGCCTGCAGATTTGTTTCTCAAACAATTATTGCTATCCAAAATCTATATGATTAAAAATCTATATGATTAAGAATCTGTTGGATGCACTTGTCACCAAAACTTAACAGAAAGCAAAAATTCCAACCTGGATAAGGAATTCTTCTCTCCAGTTGTTAAGGTTGTCAAAAGATTTCATTGAGTTGACATCATATACAAGGACACAGCAATCAGCACCACGGTAGAAAGCAACACCTAGGCTCTGGAATCTCTCCTGACCAGCCGTATCCCAGATCTATGGAATGAAAAGAATGTTTTAATGATTTTGGACAAGGAAACCACTTTAAACACTAAAAAATATAGATAGAAAAAGTAGAAATTCCTAGAATCTAATGGCAAAACTGGCAAAGTATGAATGGATACAGAAGCTGGATTTAACATCATGGTCAAGGTAAACAAATTCACAAAGCAATACATCAACTGAACTCAATGGCCAAAAAAATTTCCATAAACTGAACTCCAATTAATGAGCAAAAGAAAGACAAGCTGATTAAGAAGTAATAGACAACCAATAGCATCTAACGAATTTACTTATCAATGACATAACTGGAAGAAAAAGAAGCCCTCTCCAAATTTCATATCAAACATAAAAGAGATTGTTACTTAGCTATTATCACTGATCTAAGTATGTCACATGCTTCTCACAAAATGTTAGATTTATTAGAGAATTATCCCCAAACTCTACCATGCCAAACAACTGGACAGATCTACATGAAGATGATGACAGCTAAGGGCCAAACCTAATTCATGTCTAACACATAAAATTGAACCTCTTTTTGTGACAGATCTACATTAGCCACAAATGAAGTAACCTCAATATAACGTCTAGAAAAGCACATCAGTGGTAAAATTCAGAAAATGGCAGCATCAATGCTAATATGAACTGAATAAAGGTAACGGAAAAGGGACGAAGCTACCACTGCCTCTGGATATCCATAATTCTTTAGCAAAATGCTAATCTAGTCATATTTATCATCCTTATATGCTAAAGATAAAAATCAAAGTTTAAGACCTCTTCTGCAAATTAAAGGGGTCATAGAGAGAATGGGAAAGCAATAAAGTCCTATCGCCTGCAAATGCTATCCGGCCAATACTTAGCAGTTAGAAGATCAATTCTCAACAATTTAAAAGGGGAAAACAGAAATTTTTTTGAGATTGATCCTATTAGGTGAGGGAATTCATTTCCCCCCTAAATTTGGACATTCAGCCCAATAAAAGGAAAATCAACAGCAGATGCTTCACAAGACTCAAACATGAACCCAAGTCTCGTTACCAACCTGTAAGGTGAAGAGCCTATCCTCAAACTGTACTTCCTTTGTCAAAAAATCAGCTCCAATGGTCGCCTTGTACTGATTGCTAAACTTCTTATTTACATATCTAAAATCAAAGTGTGAAGGCAAACAACACCACAGCAAATTACACAAAAGATCGTAAACACAACTAAAAACCACAAGACAGATGTATATTTCAAAATAATGAGTAGTGAAGGATACTGATTCATCAAAGAGGTCTTCCCCACCCTGCAAATCACAGATTAACAAATTAATTATCCAAAATTAACGGCATTAATAATCCTTACAACTAAACAATAAAGCAAAATAACATAAGCATCTCTCCAATGTCTAATTGACGCTCATATCCACCCAATCGTTTTGAAATCGATATGCAAAACTAACTTAGACCATGCTAACAACGGGAATCAAAGTAAACAGGATCAAAATCATGACACCAGTATTCGAATCAAGAGATCCACGTAATCCATACGAAAGCCCTAGAGCCGAAAGAAAACCAGAGATCGGACGCAAAATTCACATACAGAACTACACGAATGAATACGCAAACAAAATGGATAGGATGTAGAAGGAACAGACCCGCTGTCGCCGAGGATGATGACCTTCAAGAGAGTTCTACGGCGAGACGGCATCGTACCGGCGGCGAAAAGGGCGGTGGATCTAATCTACCGTATGGTACCTAAAAATATAGAAAGAGAGAGAGAGAGA